AATTGTCATATAAACTACAAGCTGCATGGTCATAGCGAAACAGTGACTTTATTTATAACAAAACTTCCGAAAATAGGCCGGGAAGCTGAAGGAAAAATTTGAAAGAAATTGAATTGTCCGTGATTGAATGGTAAAGATTTTCACTAAAAGAGAGCACGTTTAAGTTAATTTTAATTAAAAGTAAGTCATTACCACCGGAAATAATTTCGAAAGTTAGTTTGATCCACTGAAAGTAAAATGGCCAAAAAACACGTGCTACCTAAAAACTTCACGTACTGTGCAAAAAAATATTTTACCCACGTTTTCATTTGCATCATGCAATCTCGTGCTTTTCGTGTTTTATCTACGCTTGCTATAACACCAGGCATTTCAAACAAGAAATCTAGTGATTCTTCATTTTCTTCCAAAGCAAATAGAAATTCAGATGGACACTGCGCATTGCTTATTGGGTTTAGGTAATGTGTGGACAGCCGTTGAGTTGCTAGATTACAATTAAATAAATTGTTTCAATTTGCGACTTTGTTCCGAGAAAAAAAAAATTGTTGGAAGAATAAGTTGTAATTTTATTTACAGTGTATATATATGTCAGTGGGCTACGAATCCGTTTACTTTTTTCTCACTCGGTTAGGTTTGATTGGCCAGAAGAAAAGTGGATGATGACACTGAAGCATTAGAAATTCAAAACTTCAAAAATATTGTTACTCAGCTTGTTAAAAGTACACTTATTGCAAATAACTAGAAGCGTATTATTTCTTTGTTCACAGATCATTTCGTCACGAAAATGTCAATCCGACATTTGCACATCTCTCATGATACATCTTAATTTCCCCCTCTCCCACACCGCCCGCCAAAATAAAAATTGCGCACGCATTGTTTCCAGATTCTCTTGGGAGACGTGTACAATGGATGGAAGATGTGCAAAGGATGAATCACAATAAGGCTTGAGAATGTTTACATGGAGGTGGTGGACCTCGGGTAGTTGAGGTAAACCGCTTAGATGGGGTAACCTTCTGTTCATATAGTCTGTCATTTTAATTTAATCACGTTTACATGATAGGTGGGGTGACCCGCCTCATGTTACCTCACCTATCTGGGGTCGCCCACCTCCATGTAAACAGGCTCTAAACCAAATCGCTTTTGAGCCGGCACTAAAACCATAGCGGAAAGGCCTCCTGTTTACACATAAGAACAGTGATTTCGGAGCAATTTCTGAAACTTTGTGAAGCTGCGCCAAGATCTCTAAGGGACGGACCATTGGAAAACTTATCGGGGGGGGGGGGGGGGACGAAGTACAAAAAACATATTCGCGCAAGGGAAAATTAAATGAAAAAAATTAATTAATTATTCATGCTACAGTCTGAAAAAAATTCATACAAGGAATTTGATAACAAAAAAAAAGTCCTGCGGCTCCAAAATTCCCCCCCCCCCTCCCCCATAACATTTCTAATGGTCCGTCCCTAAAGTGGAGAGTAACATTTCGGATAGTCGTGTTCACTTCACACTTCAGTCAACTGTCAACTCTCTCTTAAACGGACACCTTTGGGATCGGCACTAAGTGTCCGCCTTAGAGAGGTGTCCGTCTTATAGAGAGTCAAATAAAAGGAGTAAAGAAAGGCAGGGACCAACTCTAAGTGTACGTTTTACAGAGGTGTCCGTCTCATAGAGGTGTCCGTTGAGAGAGAGTCGACTGTATGACGGATAGTTCTTCGTGTCGGCACGAAAAGCTATGCGGTATTGTATGAACATAGGCTAAGAGTCGCTTGCTAAAGTGAAATGAATGCAAAACAACGACGGACCGCTGAGGGAACAGTTTTCTCCTCTAATAATGCCAACCATGCGAGGTTCGTTATATACCAATCACTAACAGCCACGGTCGTACGAACAGTTCTACCCAGTAAATCGACACTATCGCCTGATTGAAGACCTGCAGTACATACGCGGTCAAAACGTGGCGATCAATGTCTAAGTGATAATCGTACCGTGAGACAAGCGACAAACGAACAACGTTTTATACACATTATCTGCGATGAACAATGTTTTTCATGATGCAGGACACAGTATAACAGTCGCAAAATTCTATACACAGCTGGTAAATGATGATAGCCTCAAATAAAAATTCTTTGATGTCATTATATTTTTTTTCAAAACCTTCTTGAACCTAAAATTCAACTCTAATGCTCCGTCAGTGCTCATGTGAACGAGGTCGTTCCAGATATTATCTGGATTCACTAGTGCGAATATTTATAACAGGTGGGTTAGATTAACAGGGTCGCATGAAATACAACAATTGCACTGTTTCCCCCTCTCCCACCTAAATGTCTCTGACGTCAAAGAGTATGAGTACGAGAACGAATGTTAACTGCTACAATCGCTACTTTGTTTCGTTGAAACTGCAGTTGTCTATTTATGTTACAATGTACATAGTACACTGGACAAAACTGTTCTAGATTAACGTTTAATTATACAAAAATAAAATGAGCCAACTGTGGAACCTTGCATGATATTTTGATCTTTTGGACCTTTAAAATTCCACACACGGAAAAATATTTTCATGTTGATTACGGAAGGAGGACTTGCGTTACAGCGTATCTAAACTTGGTAACGAAATCACAAGTACGCAAAATCACGAGATTTCAAAGAAAAACAAATCAAATGTTTTTCATCTGAAAATAAGAAAAGTTGTTGTGTTAAGGATCTCTGTTGTCTTTAACAAGATGAAAAGTAAAGCTCAACTCTAAGAGTCTCATCGAAAAGTAGCGCAAGCCTTTGTGTTTATTCCACAAAATTTCAAAGCCTTCTGTAATACACTAAAAGTAAATAACGGCTTGACAAAAGTAGTCATGTACGAGCCGTCACGCTTTTAAGCCCCGTCAAAACTGTAAGTTGGAAACGCAATCGTCAGAAGAGGTTGGACACGGCCCGCAAGCTAGGTCGTCAGCAACATTTAAATTTGCATTTTTTTTCTTTTCGCATTGGCCCTAACACTTCCGTACTGTCATTTTTACAGTTTTGGCTTCCATATCGGTTTCCTGTGCAACTGTCGAAAGTCTTATTAACAGTTATTTTGTTATTTTATAGTTTTTTTGTTGTTGTTAATTTTAGAGGGCCACTAGGGAGAATACTTTTCATAGTAATTGGTGTCACCCTCTTAAAATAAAGGTTATTATAGTACCGTAATTTTCCCGCAGTTGGACAGGGTTAATCAGAGATATGATAGCTTTTACCTCGAGTCTTGTCGACAGGTGGATTAATAAATTATACACTTACTTTAATCCTGGAGTTATGCTTACCGTGCTAATTTTAAAGAAACCGAAACTAGTCTAGTTTTACTATGGATTAATCCTGAATAACTGCCCTCTTCTACATAAATATATTGGTGAGCGGGTTGTTGTAGACTAGTTGTCGGGTGGGAGGCCTAGGGTTGCTGGTTGGTCATATAATGGCCTATAAGAGGAGAATTCATCCGATTCGAGAGAAGTATGTTTTCAGGCTCAGCTCTAAGCTTAACAGCAGTATGAGAGGGTAGGGATTTCTGCTGTACAGAATCGATGAATTAGCTGTGCACATTATGCGGATAAGATTTATTTCATATCTATAACTATAATTAAAGTTTATATGATATATGATATAGTAGTAAAATGTAATTCTACTCAACTCCGTATGGAAATTTTCTTCACTCATTCAGAGGCGACTTGATTTCGTGTGCACGGCTTGTTTCGCGTGACTGCACTTTTGGGCTATATGAGGACTGACTGAGGAAGTAAGAATATTATACCATTTAACAGCCGCTCGCGTTCTTCACCATACTCCAGTCATTTGTTATGTTTTATTTTACGATGCTAGGTTCTATTTTTGGAATCGATTGCCAGACTACTTTGCAAGTGCAAGACAAAAATAAAAGTCGCTTGCCTGTCAAATTTTATGTACAATTACGTTGTTCTTTTTGTGACCTGATACTGGGCTAACTGTCCGGATACTGAGCAACATAAGAGCTCTGCAAAAATATTAATTTCGCGATGGAAACAAAGGCAAAAAGTTAAACTGTCTTTCGTCATATTAAGGTCTAAATAGATTTTCTCTGGGCCAAATTTCAGAGCTCTTGCGACTAACAAAGGAAAGTTATTGCAATGTTGACCTGAAGTGCCGGATACTGGGCAACATACTGCACCAGAACTTTCCTACCCCTTTCCTGAAAATGTAGACCCCATTCTAGTAATTCTGTTGAAATTACAACCCTGTTCTAGTCAATTTACAGCCCAAGCTCAGTCTAAGAGTTTAAACATACTTTGATACGTGTGGTATCATATTGCGCAATCCTCAAAATGTGAACATAAAGAATTTGTCAGGAAATGGATTCAAGAAGATAACTTTCGCTGGAGTTTCAATAAAAATACTTTTAACCTAATTTACTTGGTTTCAGCTTCTTGCTTGTTGTCAGGAGCCGATTAGTATTGTTGGTGTATGGTTATTTTACCGATCTGCCGCACTGGTAAATAAAATCGCTTAACTGATCGCATAGTATTTGGGCTGCCTGTGGTCAATTATGTCGTGAAAATACGACCCCATCAGTACGTCTACTAGGATATGGGATAGAGTTCAAAGCTAGTATTATTGTCAGAAGCCGATTATCGGCAAAATGGGCACACATTTTCTGTCAAAAGTAAGTAACATGACTTCGGCTTTCTCTCTTTTGTCGATAGTCTCTCGAGTAATTCAACTTCATTTAAAACTAATCTATTATATATATGTCAAGAATTGACCAAATTAACCCCAAGGCAGAGACTTTTGCTCTCTGTGGGGGTTACATAATATTTTCTTGATTGTTTATTTATTTATTTATTTATTCATTAACGTCAGTTTAATTGCTAACTATGACGTCAATGACGGTTGAATGTCGACCCACGAATTGTGACGACGAATTTTATAAAGGTTCCAATATTAAAACACGACCTAATAAGCACCTTTCAGTACTGCAGTCAGAGTAACGCTATGGTTAAAGAATGAACTGGTACTGGATTCTCGGATGGATTCCGTCGACCTTAGCAATCTTTGGAAACGGCTTTGTGATTTACCTCATTTATACTAGATGCAGACTTCATACCATTCCCAATGGCTTTATTTTGTCACTCGCATTGGCCGACCTTGGCGTTGGGGCCTGCTATTTCCCAGCAAACTTTATTTGCGAGTTTTCTCCAAGAGCGTGCCTTCAGAGCGTGCCAGATGACATCGCAGTGGCAATGATTTATTCTTCAACTAGCTGTCTCTGTGTTATGGCCATCGACCGTTATTTGGCAATTGTTCATCCACTTTCCTACATGACTCTCATGACGCGAAAACGCGCTTTTTGTTTGATGACGTTGTCGTGGCTCATACCGTTCACTACCTACTTTATCCCAGGACTCTGCACAAGTCTTCACAGGTGCAGCATAAACCGAAATATCACGGTAGTAATCTGGACAACCATGTTTGAATTTATTCCCTGTGCTGTGCTCTTGTTTATCACAGTCAAAATAATATCAATAGCACGCGATCATCGTCAACAGTCCACTAGGTTAGATACACAGCTGCGGTTCAATGAACCAAAACATAAGGGCTACAAAATACCCACATGGAGGCCAGCTCGTGTAATTATAACAGTAGTGGCCTTATTTCTTGTTTGCTATTCGCTTGAAGTGTGCAGCTCACTATGCTATTTTACCGATTTGTGTACATTTTCTAATGATTTGTTCAATGCAGTGCGTTTTCTTGTAGTGACGAATTCAGCCGGCAACCCAATTGCATATGCGTTGTTGAAACGTGACATTAAACGGGAGCTCAAGGAAGTACTTTGGGAAAAGAATGACGCGAATGTTGTCGCTACAGAGGTGTAACAGACATAATAATACGGTTTTATGGTCAAGTCACTTAATCCGCGACAGCTGTATCAAGAACACTACGTAATGTGTTCGTATTACTAAGAGGTTGGGACCAAAAGCTCATAAGCTTTAAGCTTAAGTTCTCAACAAGGCGAGTTTTATGGAACGGAAAAAGAAAGTTTGATGTTTTTGCTGAACTAATCGTTTTATAATTCATGGGGCCAACCACATTGTTTTCTCAGACAATATCAGTTGAATGGATCGAACCACGTTGTCGATTAATAGCCGCCTAAAAAGACTGAAAAACAAAACAGGAAGTCTTTTGTTACATACTAACACAACTAATAATTAAAACGATCAGTAATTCAGGGCGATACACTTTTTGCCTTGCGGCGATCCATACGTACAGTCAAAGACAATGGAAACACCTGTCATAACGACTCCGCCGTAAATTATGTTAGCATGTAATCAGTACTCATGCCACGAAGTGCGGTTTCTGGTTGTCCTCGTTCAACAATAAAAAAAATTAAAATAATTTCCGTTATTTACCCATTTGAGGCTTTTTCGTTGCTGGCCACTGATAATCTGACAAAAAAGAGGACTATATTTGCGTTGCCTTTTATTCCTGATGATATATTCAGCAGCTCCGAAATGGCGAGCATATGCATCCTAATCACAGAAGGGAAAGATGTTGTTCTCCTCCCGCTTTTTCTCTTTTCCTCCCCCATTTTTTTCTTTTGCTACGCATGTAATAGGCTTCATTTCAGTGGGGAAAACGTTTTTTGCGAAATTGTGACATTTATTCAAAGGTATAGTTTGTATATGTAGGGCAGAAGGTAGACCAAGACTTTCAAATATTCTTTTTTCCGGTCAATTTTGCATGTTTGTTTACTTTTTTTCTAGACTTTTAAGTCTGAATCGTGCTCATTTGGGTCAAGATTCGAAAAATGTCATTCATTGATTCCCCTCAGTCAGAAGTTAGCCGCAAAATTCAGTGTCCTGAAAGCCAACTCTGCTGATAGCGTCACAAGCGGTACGTACGGGCGGTGGAGGAGTTAATGTGTAAATTAAAGCTACCAATTCGGCTATGTCGTTCGTGTGAATTAAAACTACAAACTACCCATTAACAATTAATGGACAACAACGTAATGGAGCTTTAACTGCTTTTATCTGAATGGTAAATGTGACAGCCAACGAGTTCTATTCACAATTCAAGTTTTGACTAGCGAGTAAAGGTGCAGCGTTTCATCGATCATTTATAACTACACTGAGAATTAACGGGAGGGGGGTTGAAAGCCAGTAAAACGGACAACGGCATTTGCTCAGATACAATTACTAATTACATTAACTCTGATTTAGCACGAGGTTAAAAGGAACTAAAAAAGAAAAATAATAACAACTAAAAAAACATTGATCGCCCTTTGTTCTGACTGCCTGTGTCAACACCTGTCTTTTGATTGGATTTCCTCCAAAAGGAGGCTACGTTTTTCCTTAAGCCTGTAATTAACTGAGTGTAATTAACTCAAGCTATTTGTTAGTTTGCATCTAGATGTTAGACTATAGCGATATGGAAGTAGTAGTGGTGTAGGAGGTAAATTGAATATTTCAGTGTTCAATTGAGCCGATGCTATTGATAACAATCAAGTTTTGTCTCAAAATCATCTTATGATCATGTGGGAAAATGACTACTATACCAACCTATTAGCCGTTATTGTGTACATTGCAGGCTAAGAAATGACATTGCGAATTAACTCGTGCTGAAAACTCAAGTGCCGAGAGTGTACTAGTAATCTATGAAATTGGAAGGATATATTTTGATCTGCTAGTCTGAAAGAACGATCCAAATAAATTCTTGACAGGTCTTGGACTCGAAACGCAATCCCCATGTAGAACAATTAAGACGACAAGGGTCAGGTGTTTCTGAAAAACAAGCGGTAGAAGACATCGTTTAACATTGCTTCCGACAAAGATAAGATAACGGGAAATATAAGCCATGCATGTAGTTCGATTATCACTCACAAACCCATTCACACCAAAGATTAAACCTGTTTAAAGCTGTTTTAGTTAAACAGGTTTAAATTTGTTTTCGTCATAAAGCTATTTACTTCACTGTTATTGTTTGACTAAACAAAATATAGCTTTGGTGTGATATGGGGCAAATCGGACGTGTCCCAAATAGTCTTCAGGCAACGTAAATGCAACAGTTGGATAACCGACGCAAACCACTGGATGAATTGTTATCTAGAGGATAAACGTGTGTTTTTATCCATGCATAGAGATTTGCTCACTGAATAAAATTATCAACCTGAATTCTTTTTTACCTTTTTCTAAGAACAAATAATATTCGGGTCATACTCGACTGAACCATCTCGTGAATCATGTGGAGAAGTTGCTTGCCTAATAACTTATCATGTCAGTGACTTGCGTGCATCCTTTCGTCAAAATTAAACAAATTGTCTCTAGTCCTACTTTCAAGGTGTGATTTGGCAATCCCAACGTGTTCCAAAAGCTTTTACAGTTACATAACTGCCATACTGTAAATCCTCTATTAAGCCCCTTCACTCTAAGAGCGCCCCCCCCCACCCCCGAGCGGCTACACAGTACTAACAGACTCACCCCCCCCCCCCCCCCCCCCCGCCCGCCCCCACCCCCCGCCCCCCCGCCCCGCCCACGTCACCCTCCTACCCCACTCTATCATCACCCCTTCCCCCTTCCTCATCAC